TTCCATCACATTTATGACTTTGGTTTGTGTCACACCCAAGAGATATCCCAGGTTACTGTTAGGCACTGATTCAATCAAGTACTGTATCACCAAAATCCATTGCATAATAGGAATGAGCCCTGGTTGCAACTTGGGAAACTACTGTTTAAAACTTTGAATCATTAAAATATTCACTATTCTTAGTTCTTGTTCCTCTCATATAACCTTTTAAAAATATTTAACCCTAATCATTATGGGCTGCATTAATCATGAATGTTGCATGCATTAATTAGAAATATTTAAAAAAATACAGAAAAACTATTTTGCTACTTCTTTAAATATAAAGAATACAACTGTAGAAGTGAAAAAAAATTACAACTGCTTTATCCTGACATGATGAAGTTTATTGGCACATATTGTTCTCCTAAAAATACAAAATGTTCTGCCATTTCTAGATAAGAAAGGGGAAAATGGCTAGGTTTGCAGAATGCAGAGCAAATGTTACTTCCCTGAATATAAATATTACTCTATTTTGTTCACTTTCCTTCTTCCTAAAATTAATGACAATGAATTATTTAATGGAATTTATAAGTCACTGAAAATATTATCACCATTCATTATAGTGCTGTAGTAGTGACACTAATTCTAGCCAACACATTTTCATTTTAAACCATTAACGTCTGTTAAGAAAATATTCAGAAAAATTACCTATGGGCTGAAAGTTATGCTTATAAAACACAATTTGAGACTATATTTTTTCTTCTGCTATTAAAAGTTTGGCAAAATTGCATTCAGCTGTTTTTCATTTATCTAAATGTGGAAATAAATTCTTTATACTTTACAAAAATAAATCTTATTTCCACTTGGACAAGATAAAAAATGGCTATATTTTTAATGTTTGAAAAACCCTCAGGAGGAATAAATATAACTGTTTAGCAATAGTTTATTATATGTGTTCTGTGTGTCATTTTCCCTTATTGACCTTTATCGATTTTAAGCATTTACTGAGTGTTATGGGTACATGTAAGTCCATCACTCTGCAAAAGCTCTACACAGGTTGAACATCTCTAGTTCAGCAACATTCATGGTCTGGCATGATTTTAGTCAGTCAGTTGTCTGCTTAATGTAGGTGTAGCCAAGTTTTCTGTGGTCCCGAAAAGGTTTTTTTACAGCCACCATTCCTGGCTCCCTGTATTCTTCGCTTTTATTTAACTCTACATTATTCCTAAATCTCTTTTACGAGACCAGCAAGTGGTGGAAGAGCTGGTAATGTGACTAAATATAAACATGATTTTATACTTTATCTACTTTTTTTCTTGTGTTAATACAGTAAAATTGTGTAACAGCACTAATATTCTATTTTGAAGAGAGCTGATATCCTAAGTATTGGCTTTATAGGGCATATCAGTACAATCATACATTAAGCAGCAGCATTGTAAGCACTGTTCCATTTATCTGCCTCGGTAAAATAAAAATAAAGAGACCCACTCACTACACTATTGACCTTCTGTGGTTCAGCAAATTCTTTGGGTTAGCACCAGCCAGGTCCTGAGGTGCTGGACCAGAGATGTTCAACCTGTAGTACTCTTTTCTACTATGTTTAAGATTAAGGGCACATCTGTCTGGTGCACATTTAGGATGTGGATCCACGTATCTGCAATATTTCTAAGACACCTAGAATCCTGGTATCTAAACTCCGGACACAGAGCAGTGAGTACACCCAGGAGGGCCAACTTCCAGACTTCCTTTTCTGCCATTATGTCTCTCTTGCTGTTTTTGTTGTTTTAAAGCAGTCATCTCTTTTCCTCCTTTTCCCCAGTTCCATGCCAGTCCAGAACATTTTATAAAAAGATGAGATGTAGGGCCACTTGATCAAGGATTTTATTTTTTTTCTGATGGATTTTCCTGTGTATGTCTCCATTAGACATTTACATGTTTCACAGAAATTCAGCCTTACACAGCCTCCTTCACATATGCTTTTCTAGCAGCATCCCCACGACTTTTCCAGCCAAACAGGAAAACTGCATAATTATTTTTATTCCTATGTTTTACTGTAATTTGAGAACATAATAAAAAAGTGTTAACGTTTTGAAAAACCTTGCTTTTACTATTCAGTTGCTCAAAAGATTGGTAGGCTGTTGAACTGACGATTTTAAAGCTGCTTGAGATTTAAAAGTATTTTTAATCATGTTACTATTTAACTAAATAAATAAATGGCTTTTACCCCCTCAAACTTCCAACTTTCTTCAGTCACCTGCTACTTCTCTAATATCAGAAAACTTCCTAATATAATCCTTGACACTTCTATTATTTTATATTATTTGAAACCTAATTCCATATGTCATATCACCTAGTGGATATAACCCACAACTACCTAGTGGTTTGCCTACCTCTGCCTGATCCAAATACTTGCTTAGCATTGTTTCAATAATTTCATTCTCCTCCAGTTCATTTTTTGGCATCAGCAGCTACAATTACAACCTCCATGGGTGTACAGTAACTATTTTAATATATTCTATTCTTTTCTATATGAATTCTACAACCACAACAATAGCTGAATTAGGGATGTTAAATATTAGTTAATAGAATACTCAATTAACCTCATGAATTCTTATTGGATACTCAACTATTCTATAGTACCCGGGAGCGGAGCCAGCAGCCACTGCACTAAGGCCCCACTTCTGAGGAACCCTCTGCCACTCTGAGATGCTGGCTCTGTATCAGAGGCAGCTGCATGGGATGCCAGGTGAGAGCTGGTCTGCGAGGGGAGCCAGATTAAAAACCAGCTCCCCTCGCAGACCAGGTGTCTGTCACCCCAGCAGGGGTGGCAGCAGCACCTGTCCAACCAGCACCTGTCTAAGCTCCCAGACCTGGCGTGAGCCAGGACTGAGCCAGGCTGCTTGCCTGCCTAGTTCCTAATACACTTTAAATTCAGAGCCACAGCTGAGGTAGGTCCCAAACCTGTTGCAAGCCAGGACTAAGCTGGGCTGCTGGCCAGCCTGCTAATAATTTATTGGCGGGGAGAGAGGGAAGAGGAGAAATGCATGTAGTCTATAGCAGTGGTCCCCAACACGGTGCCCGCGGGCGCCATGGCGCCCGCGGGGGCATTTCAATGCGCCCGCCAGGTGCTCGGGGCTGGCCTGGCCCCAGGCACATGGCGCATGGGCGCTTGCGGGGGGAGCGCCGGGCGCGCGGCACTCGGCAGGAGGGGTGGGAGCGCCGGGCCCGGGCGCGCAGCACTCGGCGGGGGGGAGGGAGGGAGAAGGAGCGCCGGCCTCGGGCGCGTGGGACTCAGCGGGAGGGTGGGGGTGGCGGGGAGCGCCGGCCCCGGGCACGCAGCACTCGGCGGGGGGGAGGGAGGGAGAAGGAGCGCCGGCCTCGGGCGCGTGGGACTCAGCGGGAGGGTGGGGGTGGCGGGGAGCGCCGGCCCCGGGCACGCAGCACTCGGCGGGGGGGAGGGAGGGAGAAGGAGCGCCGGCCTCGGGCGCGTGGGACTCAGCGGGAGGGTGGGGGTGGCGGGGAGCGCCGGCCCCGGGCACGCAGCACTCGGCGGGGGGGAGGGAGGGAGAAGGAGCGCCGGCCTCGGGCGCGTGGGACTCAGCGGGAGGGTGGGGGTGGCGGGGAGCGCCGGCCCCGGGCGCGCGGCCCTTAGAGGGGGCCCTGCCCCCGGGCGCGCAGCTATGGGGGGACCCCACCCCCGGGCGCGCGGTAGGTGGGGCCCCGCCCCCGGGCGCGTGGATGGGGGGGCGCCCCCGGTCTCCGCCCCCTGGCGCCCGGCGGGCAAACGGCCACGCCCCCTGGCGCCCGACAACCTAAAAAGGTTGGGGACCACTGGTCTATAGCATTAACCGACAAGCTTTTGCTTATTGGTTAATCAACTACACTATTACAACACCCCTAATTTGAATGCCTCAAACAGGAAATTCTCTTTTTGCCATTTATTTTTAAGTAACCAACAATTCCTTATTTTCCCATCTTACAATTATTTCTCAGTCCTAAACCACAATATTGCTAATTTCTCAATATAAAATGTTAACACAAAGTTGAGAATGGGAGCCACTGCCAGCACTATTAAGACAAAATATTTCAGTAAGATTATGGATACCGCTAAAATTTTTGGAAGTTTGTCTGGAAAAAAACAGCAAATCTTTTAAAATGCATTCATCACTAATATTTTACTTTACTATGGATTCAAATAAAAATCAGACGAATGTTTCATTAGCATCCCACTTCTTTATACAGCTTGCTGTATAAGCTATAGATACAGGAAAAACAAATATACATGTTATAAACTAACACTGAACTGTATAACAACTTCATTATATCACACTGGTAATAAAATTACAGTTAGTATGTCCAATGAACAATGCAGAATTCTCACATATGCTCACCCTCTACATATTAAGGTTCTACCCAACAAAAATTTAACAAAACAGGGAAACAAGTAACTAGTTGCAGTTTGCAAGACATGCAGGGCGTTAGTTCCTCTTTGTTACTCTGCTAAAGCCTTAAGAAACAAGACTGAAGTTCTGACTACACAACAAAACACTACTGTAGCAAGCTCAAAAGACAATCAAGCCACTCAAGTTTTATTAGTAGGGCATATCGGCCAGACCTAGACACACCTTGATGAAATGTAGCTGCTGTTTCAGTCATAGCTACCAGTGTGCCTAATACTGATAGTATAGGTATGTCCGTATCCATATTTCCTAATTAAAATGCTTCAACATGAAGACATACTGCAAAATTAAATGAGAAATGCCAGATTTACTCCCATGTGCAGCTACAACATTCATTTTCCACAACCTTGTTGAAGTTGTGTATGTACAACTTGATTACATATGTATGCTAACCCAGTCTCTTACATTTACTACAGATGTTTAATGGTCTGGAAGACATTTTTATAAAAATCTGCTAAAAGCTGTGCAGACTACATGCAGAATACAAAGAATACCAAGGAAAGATATGGTCTTAAATTTCTGATATGATGTATTAAAATATAACAAATACAAAGGTCATACCAATAGTCATAGCTCTCATCCCAGTTATCAAAATGAACCAGGAAACGATTGTCCACCATGTCTGTTACCGTAGCAACACAGATGAATGTAGGATTTTTTTTGTCTACAGCTTCAAGCTTCATTCCCACTCGAAATCCTGATGGAATAACTGTCTACTCAAACAGAAACTTTAAATTAAAGGTAAGTAACACACTCTTCAAACCAAAACCTCCCCAGTGTCCAGAATCAATACAAGCATGTCATTTAAAAATGTATCAAGTAGTTAGACAACAATGCAGGAACAGCACAATTGGCTTATGTGAAAGATAATGAAATAGGCACAGACTCAAAGATCATGGGTTTATGAACCAAAAATTTCTGAGCATGTTTTGGTTTTGATTCTGCCCCATCAGGCACTACCTCTGACAATCTCCTCCTAGTCTCATAGAGTTACAAAAATAGTGTGATATCAGTTCATGATACAGGCAAGATACCCAAATCGGATAAAAAACTGGATAAAAGGAAGGTTAACAACCACCAAGAGAAACTCTTGCTTAGGTCTAATACAGATTAAAAAATATTTTATGTTTTGGTCTATATTAGTCTGAGGAGAAAAGCAGGCTTAAATCCAGGATTGCCAAAATAGTATAAACAATCTTATAAAGTTTAGGGAGGATTTAGGATAAAATGATTAACAGGGTGAGGTGTAGTTTCTATTCCCAGCTCTGTCACTGATTTGCTTTGTGATCATAGGTAAATCATTTACTCTCTCTATATATGTAACATGAGAATCAGATACTTTTTCTCTTCACTGGAGTACTGTAATAATGATGACTCCTTCCACACTGAGCATGCTACAGATTCTACAGGATTACTGGAAACATGCACCATCCCCATAGAATGACAGAGCATACTCCGTGACAAGACTGCAGGGATTTAGCAGACAGTTTCTTCAATTGCTGCTCCTTGGTGCCATAGTTCCAGACACAGGAACTCAGAGTAGAGTATTCCTCTCTCCTATGTTCTCAATGTCTCTATTGCTAGTGTCCAGATAGCACAGAGAAGGAAGAAGTGGCTTTACTCAAATGCAAAGGGGGACGGTCAGGTGCATGGGAGAAGAGCTTAAGAGAACCGAGGAGAATAGGAGCAGAAACTGGGGACAGGAGGGTGGGAAAATATGCACAAGAACTGGGACCAGGCCAGAGTGGAAAGCAGCAGAGGACAGACAGAAGACAGCAGCAGAAGGGAATAAGGAGAGACCGTAAGAGAACAAGAAGCAGAGAACGGAACAGGATGTAGTAGAAGGGCCTGTGGGAGTCAGTAAATGGGAAGGGGCAGGATCTGGGAGGGTAGCAGTTGGAACTGGGATGTGTTAGGAGAGGCTGGGGGGATAGAAACAGAAGGGTCAATAGCCACTAGACACATTCCCCTACAGAGAGCCTGCATTCAGCCCCTCTGGCAGGAAAATTCATGAAGGAGCTTGTTGTATCCCTTCCCTGCCAGCAGTGCAAAGGCCTGCCCTGGCTCTCCTGGCACCAGGGTGGAGGTGAGGGGGCAGCACTGCATGGGTATCCACTCAGATGTCTGCAGCTATGCAGGACTCTATTCAGTAAAAGGACAGGAAATCAGGAATGGTAGGTGGGTTGCATGAGTGACTTTCTATCACCTCAGTGGGCCACAGTAGCCTACGGCCCACCTGGATACCACCTGCAGCCCCATTGCTCCAGTTTGCCTCCCTGCACCTCTTGCATACCTGGGCACTAGAGCCCCACACTTAGCTGCTTCTCCACCTCCCTTTCAGCACTTTTGGAGCCTGAGAATTGCCTGATTCACACTCCATCCCTGCTCCTCCCCTTCCCTCCCAGAGCAGGAACACCATGAACAGCTGATTCCCGGTGCTCCAGCTCTGGGAAGGAGGGGAAGAAGCAGGGACAGAGCAGCTTCTTCTAATTGAAGGGAGGGGGGAGGAACAGGAAGTGTGGGGCTTCGGTACCCCAGTGTGAGAGAGAAACATGATGGAAGGGAGCAGCATCATGGATCTCAGGTTGCCCACCACTGATAGAGAGGCTCCAGGAGGGAGGAGGAGGAGAGAGGACGCAGCTCGCTGTGAGGAGGGGGCAGAGAGCTGGGGGAAGAGGTATGGTGGGGCAGAATAGGGTGGAAAGATGCAGGGCAAGGGGGGGGGAGAGAGTTATGGAAGGGACAGAGTGGAGACAGCGTCTGGGATGTAAGGGAAGGGGTCGAGCACCCCTTCCCCCTGGCTAGAGCAGAAGTCAGTGCCAGTGTTCCTGAGTTTCAACATTCCTTGTTGTCTAGCAGATAGCTGTGAACCCAACTGACAAAGCCTGCAGATCCACACATATGCTAACAACTTTCCATTGCCACCAGCTTCTCTGTTAGTCCAGGTGGAGAGGAAGGCTCATCCAGTGGTTAGGGGACTGGCTTAGGATGTAAAGACCCAGGTTCAATGACCTGCTCCACCATGGAATCTTGGGTGAGTCACTTAGTCTCTCTGTGGCTCAGCTCCCCATCTGCAGATAACAGTGCTTCCCCACTTAATAGGGGTGACGTGAGGATTAATAAACTGAGAAATTATAGCGTTTGAGCATTAAATAAGTGTTAAGAAATTACACTTACTACAAAAATTATTTCCACGGTAAAATGTTTGGGGTTTTTCAGTTAAAAAATGTAAGAAATATATTTTTAAAATGTTAAAATGAATGTGAAAGTTGCAAATTCCTATGCAAAAGATAGAAAATACAAGATTTAAGGTGGCCCATTCTTCAAGCACAGGGCCTGTAGAAAAAACAATGTTTATTCATATAATTAAGGACTATATTATAATGCATAAAACAAAAGGCTTAATTAAGGTTAAACAGGCAACCTTAATTCTAGTATTTCCTCAATTTTGAGTGCTTAACTTAGCAACCCTAAAGTTCTTTTAACACAATTTTTTGAAGTTTTCAACATATAAATTTAAATTCATGTGATTTTCAAAGGTGAATTTTAATACAGATTAATCACTTATCAAACTTTGAAGAAAAAAATTATATACAATATTTCCAAAGTCTTGTGTTACTGAAATGATAGAAATGAACCTGTTAGCAACTTTCTGCAGCAATGAAGTAGTAGCAAATGAAGAGTACCTACCGTGTTTTGGTTTTCAAACAAAGATTTAGGAGCAGCTTGAGCCTTACATGTTTTAAGATATGAGGACCAGTTAAATTCCTCTTCCTTATATCCTAAAAGGTTTCCAGGAAAAGTGAAAGAAGAAAATATGCATGAGATACATGAGGGATTATCTTTCATAAAATTATTTTTCAGCAATTCATTTTTCATCTACTGGTTGAATCTCTCTAATCCAGAATTCTATTGTCCAGAAACATCCATTGTCCGGAATTATTTTAGTTAGCCGTATGTCCGCTTTTCATGGCTGTGGCCTAGCTTTCCATGGTCCCATAAAGTTTGTTTAGCCACCAGTCCTAACACCAACCAGTGTTCTGTGATGTTATTTAGCTCTAATTTATGTCCTCTAACAGCCCAGTAAGCAGTGGAAGTTTTGGTAATGCTGCTAGACAATATTGACCTCCTTTGATTCACAAAATTCTCTCATTTGGAACTGGTCAGGTCCCCAGAGTGCCAGACTTAGAGAGGTTAAACCTGTAGTCCCAAATCATCCAATTCCAGAATTTCACAGATGAAAAAATAAAACTGAAATATTACACATATTTCCTATAGTAAAACCGCTACTAATTAGGGTCTGCTTCTTTGCTACATTATGTCAGTTTTAACCACAGGTAATGCCGATGCTGTCACAGATTTTTATTTTTTTTTTTAACATGGTAATTCAGACAGAAAACACTAATCCTTCCCTGTTACCAGTTGGTTAAGCCTTATTTATTACAATGAGGAGTTTTCTTTTTAATAATGACCAGAGTGTCTATTTTCCATCCTGATCTAAAGAGGATCAGATTCTCATCCTTTTGCAGGACTGACATTTTTACTGTTCTTATTCTTCATATAGGAGGAAAGACAGTCTTATGGCTCAGGCTCTGGATGGGACTCAGAAGATTTTGGTTCAATCCATAGCTCTCCCCCAATATTCCATGGGTGACCCAAAGCAAACATCCTCTGAGCCTGTTTCCTATATGCAAAGTAGGGATATTATACCCTCCTTTCCTCCACACGTTATTCGTAGTATCTATTTGCTTTGTAAACTCTTAAGGAATGGGACTATCCCTTATTATATGTATTTTGATACAATGAGGCCGCAGCTTTTGCTGAGGCTAGTAACTATTACTGTTACCGTTAAATAAACAACACAGAGAAACCTATTTAAAGGAAACAAACAAGTATTAGAAGACGAGCATTCCATACTAGGAATGCAAGCAATTACCAATAAGCAAATGCTTATCGGATAGTTGACACACTAGTTGTCTAGTTGCTTTCCCCAACCCATGCTACCTCTATCAGAAAGAGGCAGCAAGGGGGAGGGAACAGGAGCCGGTGCTGGGGGGAGCTGGTTTACAAGCCAGTTCCCCCCCAGCACCATCTCCGTAGGCGGCTCATGCCGGTCCCAACTGCTGCTTCTCTTCTTTTGAAATGTATAAGAGTTGCCCGTGGCTCCTATACAGAAAGGGAGAGAGGCAGCGGGGATAGCGAGCACCCCCCTTTATCAACTAATCAAATAGTCAATGGAAATTCTTTTTACAGGTTTTCAGCCCTTGCTTATTATTTGAACATTATTGTTATGTTAATGTTCTTTTTAATTGCCTGCTACTAAAATTTCCGTGCCAAGTTTGTTTGAAATGACATAATTATTAGGGTTTTTGTTTAATAAATGGATTTTAAATCTGCAAATGTGCCACGTATCTTGTTTTAATATAATCTTTAACAATGGTGATAGCATGTATGAGACTTAATTTTAAATTTCTGTTACCTTACGTGCTTTTTATCTAGGTTGGCTTACTAACTGTCTTATTTTGACTTATAACCAAACACTGCATATTTGCATAATTTAAACTAAGGATCAGAAGAGAGAAATTCAATCTTCCCTGTGAATTTTCATGTTAGGCCCCTTCATTTCAGAGAGTTTTCAAAATGGGTGCTCCCTGTTTCATTTGCCAAGAGTGAATCTGAGTTGAACAACTGGAACTTCTGTTAAACCTTGAACACTGCTTTGTCCATCTGTTTGGGTTGCTTCTAACCTAACTTCCTGCCTTCCCTATTTCCTGGTGTCCCTCAACACCATCCTCTAGGAAACATGGGCCTCCTCCTAACTCCAATTCCATTGACCATGATGCATCTTCTCTAATTTACATATATTTTAATATAAACATTACAAACAGATGCCAAGACACCTTATCCCATGTTGCTTTAGCCAGAGGCTGTCAGAACATAGATGAGTTCTAATTCACGGACCCCTGCTGGTTCTAGTCTTCAACAGGCAACCACATGGAGAGCCACTGATCTCCGTCTCCAAGTCAAGCAAACCATCTCTTCTAGAAGTTTCCATCTTCCTTGTGGGTTTGGTCTCCAGATGGTTCTGTCTCTGCATTCTGAGATTTCTGTAGGCTCTCTTTGCCTGTTGCATCTGCTGGCTCATAAGTGCATCCTGTTCCTTTGAATTTGCTCTTCTGGCAGTCATCTTATATGACCTAGGTGTCATTGTACCGCTCATGTCTCCTTTATTTTACTCCTAGTGTCACTCAAATGGTTGGATCCTCACAGAAATGCCTGTCCACAGAGCAGGTGGATCCTTGGCTGTTCTCTCACATTCTAGAGCAAGGGTGGACAATCATTTTTTGATGGGGGGGGGCACTCTAAGATTTTGGAAAGTGGTCAAAAGCCATATTCTTCCAGGATATTAATGGAGGAATTCTGGGGTCTGGGATGGAGACTGGATGCAGAAGGAAGCTTGGGGTAAGGCACTGGGTGCAGGAGTAAGAACGGGGCCTGGGAGGGTGTTTGGGTGAAGGAGGAATTTGGGACATAGGGCAGGAGTCTGGGGTTTTGGGATATGACCTAGGGTAGGAGGGGATTGTGATCTGGGGCAGGAGATTGGGGTGCCAGATCTAGGAGGCGGTATGGGGTCAGAGGGTTTGCATACATGGAGGAGGTACAGAGGATTGGGGAAGGGAGAGGCTCAGGGACCAGAGACAGGTTCTAGCTGGGAGGTGCTTACCAGCAGAAACCTGAGGCAGACTGTCTGCTGCAGGCTGCAGGCTGCTCACTGCTCCATGTGGCTCCACTCCAGGCATGAGAAGGAGGGGGAGGGGGAACGAGGAGGGAGGGCAAAGACTTCCTACACTGTCCCTGTTCCCAGAAAAAATTATCAGCTCCTATTGGCCAGAAACAGAGACTGGCCAATGGGAGCTAAGAGATTTTGCTGGGGGGGCAGGAACAGCATGAGAAGTCTCCCTCCCCAGCCATCTTGAAGGGTGAGTCCTCCATTTGCCAATCACTGACATGCTTCTTGTACCAGACTGGACACTGACATCCAAAAAAATTTGAGTAACAGTCCATTGTAATCAAATATTGTTTTTCCATACAGGTAAATCATTTTCCTGTCACCCCTTCCTAAGGTCAGGTGAGTAGTGACAAGGGTTTCTTTCTGCAAGCATTACACCTTTCTATAAAGGAGAAGAGTTTGCATTCATTACCAGACAGTGAGCACACTTCAAAGCCTAAGAATCAATGCCCAAGTGTGAGGCAAGTATTTTTGCATGGCATTCTTACATAATGAGGCAACGAAAACAGCTCTTGGTCCTCAAAACGATTCCATCCTGCACACTCTGCTCTATTTTTAATTTGAAAATATGGTTCTGCTCCTACATTGACTTTTGTATGCTAATCACGCTGCTACGTCCAAGGAATGTGTCTGCTTTTCCGAAAAAAATGTCAGAAAAATGGATATGTTTTCTCAGCATCTCTGTAAACCTCATTTCACAAGGAAAAGAGATGTTCAGAAAGAGGGTTTCTTCCTGACATTTGGCTCCGTGTAGATGGGCCAAATGCGGAAAAGCCTCTTTTGGAAGAAAACCAAAAAAGATACGCAAATTGCAGTTTGCAATTTGCGTATCTTTTTCCGACTTTTCTTTGTAGTGTAGACATAGCCGCTATTTCAATTTTGTGAAATCAAGAGTTATTAAGTCAAATTTAATTCTTTTGAATTAGTTTCTTAGTGTAGACATGGCCTAAAGGAATACTTTGAATAGACAGCTACACTGTGTTTTCAATATCAAGCTTGATATATATAGCATTCAGACTGATAAAAGGAAAGGTGTTGTTTTTAATGTCATTTTAATGAAAATTACCTGAACTCACTGCCTTCACTAACTATTCCTTATTGGCTCATAGGAGTTTAAATCAGAAAACACTACACAAGGAGAGAAAGAGAGAAATATATAACTTTAGAATGCCTTTCAGTACTAGGAGAGCATCAGTCATCTTCTTTGTGGGGCTTTTCCTACCCTGTAATATGTTTTTCAGTAAAAGAAAGATGGTTGGTAGTCACTGTGCCAAATTAAAGGTTGATTATAGATAAAACTGGAGGATAACTTTCTGCAAGCAATGCTGATGGATGGTCTAGAGCAAAGTGCTAGGAATCTGGGCATTCCATTCTCTCACAGCTCTGCTATAAACACTTTCTATGACCCTGTTATTAGTGTGCTGTGTTGGTGAGCCTAGAATAACAACAGAGGTACAGGCAGTCCCCGAGTTACGCGGATCCGACTTACATCGGATCCACACTTACGAACCGGGCTTTTCTCGCCCCGGAGGATGCAGGCGGCGGGACCGCCCAGACGTGCTGCAGTCCCGCCACCCGGGTCCTCCGCGGCTTTGCTCCGCGGCTCCCTGGTCCCGCCGCCCGTGTCCTCCGGGCGAGAAAAGCTCCGTTCGTAAGTACAGATCCAACATAAGTCGGATCCGGGTAACTCGGGGACTGCCTGTATATGCCTCATCTCGATGTCATCTCCAGTAATCATCCTGGACATTATCTGATCTTTAACTGGAAGCACAGGAAGTATATCGATATGCGCTACAAACACTCTGCTGCACTTTGAAGAGGGCTTATCATGATTGTCTCCAGTGGTCCATAGTTTAACTATTTATAACTAGATGGTCATAGTTGTACTGGTGGAATTGCTCCACTCTAAATACAACAGCCAGAGGCTCTTTTTCTACTTTGGCTGTCCCTGTTCAGTGTTTGATAGGACTCTGCTGACATAAGCAAGTAGCT